GCCTTCTTCAGAGCCTATACTGTTGCCAAGAGGTTGGCGTGTCTCACAGGAACAGGCTACGTTTCTCAGCGGCTTTTCTCTTGATCATTGCCTCAGAAAAATTTCATTTCATATTGTCATCATAACATCATCCTTTAAGTTCAGTTTTTACATTTTGTTTATAATACTCTTTTACTTGAATTCAATATACCCTTTTGTTGAAACTCTTCTAGTGTTTAGACAACCTGTGTAATTAAATCGTAAATAAAATAAACTAACATAAAAAATACTAGAATTAATAAACTATTAGGAGAAGATAGCTCAAACTATTTCTACACTAGCAAGAGCCTGGAGCCAGTGTCAGTAGAACTGCGAACAACCATCCACCTCCAGGGGGCAAAGGGGAGTGGCGGCCAGCAGCCAAACAGCCTATTCTGGAATGACCAGTTGCTGCAGCAGAGTATGAAGTTTGGGCAGTTTTCAGCCAATGTTGAACAGCATCATCAGTAGTTCTAAATTCAAATAACACCCACGATCTAAAGCTGGCTTCTACTCACTTGCAAGGAAGAATGGGCGCATGAAAATATATTTCGCAAGAAAAGTTAGCCAATTAAAACAAGGCAATAAATATTCTGATGTTGCAGAATACACTTGAGCTAGATATTATCCATCGAGGTTCTTAATGCAACCCGTTGTGTTTCCACCCTCGAAAGATTATTCCGGTTGTTGCTGGGACTAGAATTGGATTGAAGTATGAGCAAGATATTGCTTGGAAGAAGCAAATGACCGCGGTCACTTTGCCGCAAGGAAATACGACGGATACGACTATTACGTAAAAAAATTCCATTTTAATATTACAATGAGACGTGTGAAAAAAGGTATTAACGACAATAAAAAGTTAGTAATAAATATTCACTTCTTAAAGGTTAATGATCAAACGTTTTCAAATTTTTATTCACCCATTAGATACCTCCTGAATGTTTCATTAAAATATTATTATTGCGATATTACCGTTAAAAATTAAGATATAAATCTAATTTAAAAATAAATATTTAAGATTTCCACTCTATAGTACATCAGTTGTGGAATATAATTGATATATTTCTTAAAACTTTACCAATCAGATAAGCACATTTATTTATTCAAACATAATATAATCACTTGCTCTCACGAGTTAATCTCAATCACCGCAATACTCATTTTTGTTTATGAGAAAAGTAATTTAAACCAATTTCTTACCTAATGCGCCATCAACACCCCCCTTTTCCTTCCTTCATAAAAAGTCAAGTCAACACTGTCCTAACAAGTCGTTGCGTGTTATATTTCAAATCGTCATCTTCACTTTTAGCAAACAATAAGTTCGACTGCTAAGGATTCTTCTAGCCTCTCCCACGGTTATGTCGAAGGATGAGGTATAAACCTCGCTTACTCTATGCGCACATTCTCACATCGCGCTACTCCCTTCACGAACACACGCCAACAAAAGCCTAATGTAAAAACCGATCGGCAATATCTTGCCGGAAAAGATTTGGCTCAGATCTCTGCAATAATATTGCCCCTCCGCTCTCAATGTAAAGATACCGCAAAAGCAGAAACAAATGAGGAAAGATATGCGGAAACGTATTGCTAATTTGTTAAGCGCAGCATAAATTGAATTTTACATTTTTTAAAGCATTAAGGAGAATCAATCATTAACATATTCCTGTATAATTCGAGTACAATAGTCACTTTAACACTAACGATTTTCTTTCACAAAAACAATATATTCACAATGCATCGTGAATTTATTTATGACACTAAGTGGATTACCATAATGATAGTATTGCCTTATTATGGGTATATCAAGCGTAGTATCATTTCAAACTTTATCAACTGATATGGATAACAACAGTTTATGTCTTCGTGGCAGTGAGGCATTGAATGTGCCAATTCATGTAAATAATCAAAGTAAAGTCTTGTTAAAAGTAGATGTTTACTCTTATGTTTCAGTAACAATCTTTTCTTTTTCTTTGAAAAATGAATGATAATGGTTTTAATGTAAAATGGTTTCAAGACACAAACTCATCATCACACAGAGCAAGACCAGTCTCTACAAATTTCATGAATCCGTTATCATCAAAGAAAAACTCCTCCAGCATTTTGCATAAACAATAACCCGTATAAGATATCTCATGAAACTACCCTTCCTTGCGACTAACAGATCTAAGAAAAACCTGTTAATGAACACTCACATCTTGCAAATCTGAACAAGAGCTCAGGCAAATCTTTGCTATGCCCTTATACCCCCTTCAGCGTCAAGCTCCAACATTGAGCACACTTACATACTATTGTTATTTTGAAAATGTGCACTCTACACCTAAATATGAATAAATTCTGGGGGAAATGCCCTGAAAAAGCCACTCCACATTTCATTATCCAAAAAAAGAATATGCGAAACAATGACCAGCAGTATAAGTAGAGGTCTTGCAAAAACACCTTGATTGACATAATACTAGGATTCTTCCTCTACAATGCATGCTCATATTGTAAATATCGGCTCTTCACAAAGAAATTCTCATGAAACTAAAACACTTTCACTTTTAAATTCTATGTACATAACTACAACACGCGTTCAAAAGGATCAACCGAGTTCCCCACATCTGAACTAACACTTATATATCATACTATAAAAGTACCCTAATAGATGATTCTACTTTAAACTATATACTAGGCAAAAAATGATATCAAAGGACATAAAACACAATTTTTCAAACAATTTACACAAGATAAATTTATAAGCAATATTTCCTGCATACTCTTTAATCAAACATACTGATTCACAATGATATAGAAGGAATATTCAAATTACATTCTCCCCATTAAAAAATAAAAATAAATAAGAATGTTCTTTATTCACATTAGACTTGCCTATCATTGTGAACTGTTTCAAATTTTAAGTGCAAAAGCGACCAAAAAGAACATTGCGCTCATTATACACATCCGGTTGAAAAGAAGAAGAAAAATTATATCTGCTGTCAAAAAACTACCTCCTCACCCAATGCAAGTTATATAATATAGAATGACTTACTATTGTTAAAATTTGATGGTAGTTGCAAACAGAAATGAATGTATATCTAATGTTCATAATTACGATAATAATTCATTATTAATTATTATTAATTAATTATTTATTATGATATTAATATTATATATATATTAATGTATTACTTATTATATATATATAGTTATGTAGCACATAAAAATATCATTGAAATAGTTAATATATAGATAGATACATATTCTCTCTATACTAATCTTAATCTAACCTGTAACAAAAGTATTGTATTTCTTATTCCAAATGATCCCCATCCTTGAATCAGGTTTGTTTCAGTTCTCCTGCATCCTTTGAGCAAATTGCTGAAGATGAGCCCTTTGTTTTCTCATTAAACTCTTCTGAATCAGTAAATTATTAAACTTCGCCTACTCATTTCGCTCTCTCCACCCAAGGCATCATATTGACTCGTCATACACAATTGTAATTGTATATATGTGACTCCATAAATATTATTATTATTATAATTAAATCACAATGCAACTAGTGCTAGAGAAATCCATTAGAGCACAAGTTCTCCAATGAAGCTTCTTATAGCATCCATAACAGTATGCTAATTGTATATTACTGCACTGTCCTAGATAAATGATCTTACAATTTTGCCATGTACATAATGACACTGACACTTTAGAGACCAATTACATTAAAGGCTTCAAATATATTAAACATGCAAAAAGTAGGAGAAACTTTCCTCTAATAGGCCTCCATTAATTTCACAACATAAAAAAGGCTTTATCTTTAAAGGCATTAAAGATACTGCTGACATTACTGTAATGCATAACACTACTTTGCTAGTGGCTTGACAATCTCTAGCAGAAAAGGGAAAGGTAAATATCTCAATTTTGCTTGATGAGTGAATACCATTGTCTACTCCTAAATGCCTAAATTTTCAATTATTGTTCTTACAGAAGTTAATGCACTTCAGTCTTAGCTTAAAAGATCACTTCAAAAAATGCTAGATGAAACGTGACAAAAAAGAAAGAAAGCATTAGCACCTTTTGCTTTCATACTATTATTGCACATTTACTCTTTCCACATGAGAATTTCTTTAGACATTCAGGGCTTGTCTCCACGGTAAGGAATCTGCAGACACCTACTCTATTTCCTGCATTTGTAATGTGCCACTTATTTGCATACATATTACAATTTCTTCAATGGGAACCATAAGCATACACAGCTGAGTGAACCTAGCTGTAAATCTGTTGCATAACCTTCTATTACAACTGACTCTGTACTATTCAACCCTGACTCCATGAGGATTAAGGATTAATGTATTTTTGATATTATGAGGGAAAAAAACCTTCATATTTTAGATATGCTTCATATTTTAGATAGCTTTCTGCATTGTAACTCTCATCTTTGCAAATAGATACATTTACTACAATTTCAGATACCTAATGAAAGCAAAATCAATAGGCTACTGGAAAATGTCATTTAGAAATTTCATATTGAAATACGTAATGATAAATTCATATGAGATTATAAACAAACCATTCAGAATTAAGAATATTAGCACTAATAACAGCTTTTTAAGGGCATAGCAATAATAATTATTGTTAGTTCAAAGAGAATATTTAACTAAAATAACTTAATGTTGATGCATGTTCTCAGATGTAAGCTTATTTATTATTATTGTCTACTTAAAAAATATAAGTATTTACATCTAAGAAAGAAAAAGCTTTAGTACACAGGATATGTCACTATCACGATGAGAAAAAATAAGTTTGTGACAATTTCCCAAGGAGACAAAAATTTAACATTTTGATTTGCCTGAAGAGAAAAAAAGAGAAAGCCAAGACTACAACAAAATACTGTTAACTTGCATGCAGAAGCAACTTCAAGAAACATTTTATCATTTTCACTTTAAAGAAACTTATGAAAGACGGAGAAAATGCTTAGAAAAAGACTGATAAACCATAACTACACTCACACTGCATCCATGCAGGTTCACCACTTGCAAGTTGGGACAATTTTTGGCTAGACACGCAACTGCCTTGTCTTGAAGTTGTAAGCAGCCTTTACAAATGAAGACACGAAGTTTAGGGCAGCCAAGTGCCAGCGCCTCTGCACCTGTATCAACCACATCAGACTTCCTCAAAACTGATTCATAATATCACAAACCCTATACATGTAGAGCATGTAGAAACTGCCTTCAGATATTAATTGTTGTCCAAGCCTTTGTTATTCACCGAGAAGTTTTAATATGTCAATTCAATTTTGGACCCACAGTAAGGTCAAAGCTCAAATATTAGTTTTGTCAATCTAAAGCATTTTAAATAAATTTCTCTTCCTTTGTCACAAGAGTTGTAATTAGTAAAAATGTATAAGATAGTTGGCTAAAAGAAATACAGATGAAAATTGATATATTAAAAAAATCTCTAATTATCTTGAAAAGAAGGAAAGCTTGTATTTGAGATTAGGCAATAAAATATGAAAACTTGTACTGCAAGAGTACTCAATTTTTAATTAATTAACAACTACATTACAATATATTAATGTTAATTATAGTTAATTAATTAACAAATATATAAATTAAATTAATCTTTTGACCATACCTGATTCTGTTATTTGATCGCACCATGAGATGTTCAGATGTGTAAGGTTTGGACAACCATCTGCCAGTGCTTTCAATGATATGTCAGTAATGGCAGAGCAAGAACCAAGGTCAAGGCGTTGTAGTTTCTGACAATATCTGCTCAATGCTTGACAAGTACTGTAAAAATATACAATAACATTTAGTGTACGGCACTATGGTTAAATAGAGCTTATATGGATAATCTTTAAATAATGAGAAAAGAATATCATATAATTATTCACAAATACAATTATTTCAAGGGTAGCCAGGAAAGTCTGAAATGTAAATTAACAAAAGAATGTGAATAATCTGAAGTATGGAAAGATAAGACAATGGGTTTTCTCTCCTTCAGGCATCCCCCAGCAGGTTCCTCTCTCACACAGAACAAACTTTAAGCTCATGACTAGTTTTCCAACATGTATGGTAATGAAATATAAGGGTGTGTGCAAGGGGAGAGGGAATAAAGATGAGGAAGGAAAGTTTGTGCATGGCCTGTTTGTTACAGTACTATTCTGGCTTTTGTCTGGTATTGAACTGAGAAACCATAGAAAATTAATAATCAAAGCAGTTGGCGCTAGAATTCTCCTTTAGAGAATGGTTGAATTCCACCAAGTTGTCTGGCTAGTGTGGAAAATCTGACATAGTTGGGACTTGAATCCTAAAACCTCCTGATCATTAACACTGCAGAAGCAACAATGTTGCCACCAAACTATTGCAGTCATTAGAAGAGGAGAGGGAAACAAAAGAAAAGACTGGTGTTTCATATAACCCTGTTCTACTTTCAAGTAATGACTTAGCACTGACATTGGATATCACCATTAAGGTAAGATTCGTTGCCTCATAATCAAGAGAAAAAATGCAAACCATATATTTCTAAAATATCTTCTTTCTTATTCTCTGCTCTTTTGATGAAACACCATGGTTCTCCCTTGATAAGTCAAACACGATTCTTCTTTAAAGGTTTTATTTAAGAAAAAAGTTTTTATGACAACCCGGCAGTGCAGAGATCGGGTGGTGTGTGAAACCTGAGTGCTATTCAATTCTGCAATTTGAAGCCCTATGAACTGAGCGCCTATACCTCTCACGATGCATATTCTCTAATTAAACTTTCTGAAGAATTATACAGTTGGGAATGATGATTTGCGGTGTTACCATGAAGTCAGTGTGTGGCCCTTAGTTGCAGTTGCTCAGCCAATGTTCCCGGTCTATCTTCTCCATCGAGCATATATCCATTTTGTCAGCCTTCGCGAAACTTACCAAACAAGTCTGAAGGCTCGAGTCATGAACTCATGGAATTTCTCAAAACTGCCCAGCGTGATAGGAGAGAGAATGAACGTAGTTGTTTTGATTGCTTTTTGCTGCATGCACTTGTACATCAAAGTAATGATTGGCACAAAGAAAGCAAACATTCCAAAGGTGAAAAATATTTCAAATGTCAAATATAATTTGTTATATATTGTTTAAACAATATGTACAAACTTAATAATTATAATATAAAACAATATCATAATATTTCATTCACCTTAAATTTCACATCTGAAGTGTAAAATAAGTTGGTAAGTGGATTAACTGGAGTTTTTAAGCTAAATAAAGCCATTTTGCAAAGTTTTGTTATATGTTATTGCATGTTTTGATGTTTTTACTGCAGGTTTTAGAGAGTTTTATTGCAAAAAAAATCCAGTCTTTAATTAGCAATAAAAATAATGAAAAATAATCAAGATGTTTTGATCTCTGCTATTACTTTCCTGAAAATGGATCTGTATTTTTGAAAGTGTACATGGAAACCGGGTGATACATTATGATGTTTGGATATAAAGTAAAGAGTAGTTTGTTTTAGCACAATGCTCTAATTTCTTGTGTTATCCCAATATTGCTTTTGTGTTATATTTTTAATTTTTTACATTCTATTATTTATTAAATAATGTTGGCAGCAACAAGCCGTTATACACACATCTTACATAAGAAAGTGTTAATTATACACAGATAAAAGGAACAGTATATATATGTATATGTATATGTATATATATAGATAGATAGATAGATAGATAGATAGATAGATAGATAGATAGATAGATAGATAGATTATGTCTCAGTTCATATGTATCACTTGAAATTTGCGAAATTAGGAGTATCTAAACTATCCGTAAACATGATCAGAGTATCCTATTTAACATAGTCAGCTGGTAACGCAATCCGTACATTGATAACCCGATTGGCAATAAAATGCGATCTCTGTCCCGTCCTTGTTCTTTCTTTTCGTAGTTTCATCATGTGCCCATGTAGTCTGGAATCCATGGATCGTGTAAGGAGAGCATCAATATCTACCATAATTTCCTTTTTTCAAGACAAAAATACACGTTAAAGTGAAATGAAAGCTTTGAGAAAAATAAATTATATTTGTCATTTGTACCAGCAGTATTATAAACCAAGCCCCACGATTCCTGCAGCAAGTAGTCTGTAAATATTTATATTTCACCTTTAGTAAATAATCTACACGTGTGTACTATTTGATTCCCTTGCTCTACAATACTTCTCATTCCAACCCGCCTGACGTTCGTGCCGTCCAATCACGCGCCACGCCGTCCGACCACGCGCCACCAGACTTGACCCCTTCGCCTGCTAACTAGCGGCCTCCAATTGGCTGCTGCTTCAGCCAATAGTACTCGACCCAGACATGAATATACACCCCATATACACCTGACCATCACGGTGCATACCAGCCCTGAAGAAGACCACGGCAGGATGGTCGAAACGTCGGCAACACAGCCTTCGAAGCGGCGTCACCCGGACAGCCCAGATCACACATGTACAGCAGAGCAGTTTAACAAAGAGCTTCAGATTGGATTCACACATGCAGCATACTCCATGAGCACTTAACAGATTCCCAGAGGGGGAAGCACATATTAACAAACCAAAAATGCTGTGAAAAGGGTGAACTGAACACATTGTGTTTCATGAAGATATATTTATTAAAATCCTGTGTTGTTACCTGAAAAGCAATTATTCCTCTAGTGAGATAAGCAACTCTGGATGACATTGTTTGAAGTAATCCGAGACGCAGAAAGATTAAAATATAGCCTAAATTCGCATGAGGTGATCTCTTAATAGAAGTCAATATACAAAAAATTTGCCTATAGCTGTTTAGTCAGGTGGCCATTGAAAAGAGGAAGTATGTACACTTGTCATATAGGAGAAAACGGTCATTAATGGAGGTGAAAATTGAGGTGGCCGTTTGGGCACGTTTCACTGTAATGAAAAAGATTTTATGAAATATTAATTTTATTTCACAGCAATGAACATATTTTAGACTTGATGCATGCTCCCTGTAATCACGTAGTACTTAGTTTCAATAGAATCAGCACTTTGAGTGTGTGTGTTCTTAGTGGTTCACTATCATTTCATGTACTGATGGAGTCATTTATAATTACTGTTCTTTAATGGGAAATGATACTAATCAGAAATAGACAAAAACTAAATATAAATACCAATCTGCAATAAAAGGGTTTAAATTACAAAAGACTATCTGCAATAGTTATTATTTCAATTTTGTGTGTGAATATTTTCATAAAAAGTTATTTACACACTGATAGTCGTTAACTTGGAAATTGAATGCTACGATACCTGTCTGTTATCTTCTTGCAACCATTGAGATTCAAATCTTCTACATTCATACACAGTTGAGCGAATGTCTTCATAGATCCATCTGCTATTGACTGACAACCTCGTAAACTTAGTTTTCTTAAAAATCCACCACATCGTCTTGAAATATTTTCTATAACTGGACCCTAGAAGAAGGGAAATTATAAAATGAGAAGACTACTTCAAGAAAAGTGATGACTCTTTTACAAATAATTTAGTGACAAAGCAAAATAAAACTATAAAAAAAAGCAATATACTGGAAAAATTGCCATACTTTGGCTATCATACTTGCCACAGTTCACTTCTTGAAATTATAAGATTTGCTATTACACCTGTCTTCTCAAATTCAAAATTTCAAACATGAACTAAATTAAACAGAAAAGTGATTCAATCTGAATATTAAAGTATATCTCTGGACTTCAACAACTTTTTTACTAAATAATACATTTCATCAAAGTAAATTATCATAATACACTTCATTCATTCATCTCTTCATTCATCCTATATAATGGAGAGGCCTAATGAAAATGCAAGTTTCTAATATAAAAATGGTCAATTCAATTAAGTAAAAAAATGTGTCTGTCAGTATGAACATATATAAACCAGTGTTAACTGGAAAGCAAATTAAGTTTCTAAAAAAACGTAAACATTTTCCTAACTTTAAAAAAATATAAGGCTTTACTCACAAACTTTCCTTTATCCTAGAGAACTGGAACTTTGAATACACTCTATTGGGACCAAAAGGAATGGGAAAACTCCCAGGAAGCGACAAAAAAGTTTGATTTTTTTTTTGGAGACCCTACTGACTGGCCGTTAGTGGTCCATAAGCCCTTAAACAGTCATTTCAGATGATCTATTTTCTCCAAAATTGAAATGGATATTTTGATTTTTGGGTTTGACTTCACAAGCCCCAATGACATTTCCAAAATATTCTCAAAAATGGCTCAAAAATTTTTTGGTTTCAAGTTTTTCTTTGACAGAGCCAAAGGATGCTTCAAAGATGACAAATGTCTCATTTTCATTGAATTCATTCAATTTTTAAAAAATTATAAAAGTTCAAAACTTTTTTGGTGACATTTTTAAACTACAATTTTGAACAGACATACAATTTTGATAGAGATTTCTTTCTGGAAGAAATCTGTTCTTCAAAGTCATCTATAATAAGGTCATGTATAATTTTTCAAAAGTATGAGTAGTTTTCATGTAATTTTGCACGAAATATAAGCAATTTAAAAACTGTTCCATAAACTGTTCAAACTTTTTTCTTAAAAAACCAAGCAAACAACAAAAAGGGTGCAAAACTAGAATATTACAGATAGAGATTTTTCCCATAATTAAATATATTCTAAACAAATTATATCTTTAAATAAGGGCATATACAATTTTTTTAACAAGGAGTTTTTGCATAATGTTGGCATGAATTGAAGGCAATTTATAAAAAACAACTCCATTTTTTTTTCTAGAATAGAGCAAAATACGCTAATAAAACAGGTGCAAATTCCATTTTCATTCAAGTTACTGAATTTTTGAAAATTGCAAAATTACAAATAATGAAAGTATGTAATGTTATAGCACCACTAGTTTTAAATTTGAACATTTAGACTAACAAAAACAACCATTTTATTAATGGAATTCAGCTTTAAGAAAATCAATGATAATTCAAGATTAGAAATTCAACATACCAATAGAATGCACTAAACTCTATCAAAGGCACATAGCACAAATATTGTTAAAAACATGCAAATGAAAGAAGAGCATTTGTTGTCTCTTAACAATTTTCAGGAATGTTACTAAAAGAGTTATTACTTTTTGTGGTGTGGGGAAATTTTAAATAAGGGACCTTGCTTAATCACAATGGCTCAATGGTAACTTTTTCTTTTTTTTCCCCCTTCAAGTACACTGATACAAATATCACGACTTTCCATGGTTGAAGAGAGGTGATTCCTAATTATCACTTTTAAAGAAGTAATCCTCTCTAAAATAATTTTAATATATTATAAATGTAAAATCACTTTTCCTTTCAACATGGATCATTCAGTAAAATGTGAAAAGTATAGATGTACAACCACAATTCAAATGAGCTTACCTCAACATCCCTTTGAAAATCAAAGAGGTCAATTCGCTGCCAATTGCTGCCATCTAACGCAAGCACATTCCAAGCTTTTGAAACTTGAGCACAGCGACAAAGAGACACCACATCAAGATATGAAAATATTCTGAAACAATTATAGAAAAAAGATTTATTAGTACAAATTTATGAGACGCTAATTATGAAAATGTAAGAAGTAAATCTTTCCAATGTTAAATTATTACAATGACAACTGGCAAACCCTAAACACAAAGCTCATAACCTCAGTCAAATGAATTAATTGTAACATATTATAATAACAATGATAATAATAACAGTAATATTAAAAAGTATTATTACCGTTATTATTGTACTGCAATACAAAGCACTTTGGATGGTTCATTATCTCCTAGATTTGGGTAATGCCTAAGACCTAAAACCCCCAATGCATGTGCATTCTATTGTAGAACAGACCTCTCTGTGGCAGACATCCTCCTGCAGTATGAGAATTTTGATGGCAGTTGATGTACCTGGACAGACCTCTGAGGGGGAAATATATTACATGATTTGAGAGAAGTATCATCTAGTTTTTTTTTTTTGTTTTTTTCTATATCTTACTTTGCATCTACAAGCCAGTTTTCGAGTTTTTGGACGGGCAGTTCTCTGAACAGCTACGCCGCCAACTTGGGGACGACCAACGATATGTAGGTACAGAGTTTTTTCTCCAACGGGCAGGTAGAGCTAGCCAAAAATAAACGATGTAAAGAAAAATACATGTTTAAAGGTGCAGCTGGCTAACTGAGGAAGAGAGGAAGTATGGAATTCTGATCTGTTGAACTTATCAACTAGTATTTCGCTTTCTAGATATAGCGCGCCGTGACAAAGCATATTGACGGACCCGATCGGTCAGGGGCAGTGTTATTGGGCCACAATTAATTACTAGTATCCCTTTAAACTCTTGCTTCTCTCTGGCAAGATTCTAAACTGTACAAACTCATTACGATTACATTTACGCAGGCGCGCACGCAGGCAAGAGCAACAAGCGCACGCAGGCGAGAACACGTAGCAACAACTGTTGCCACTTCCACTATGACCGGGAGGTCCTACGGTTCGGGTCCCGATGGTGGGGGATTTGTCGACTCTAGCCAAATACCTAGTAGGTCCTTTTGGTGAAGTGGGAAAGTGCTGCACCTTGTGATTTCGCAAATAACGAGAACAGAGAGGTCTTTTATTATGCCGCTTCACGATACGAAAATAATGTAAAGGTTAGGTAATATAATATTGCAACTCGTACCAATAGTTCAGCAATCGCTTGAAGAACTCAACCAAACGAAGCGCAGGAGATTAAACCTTTATAATACGCAGTAGGAGATACTATTATTATCATCATCATTATATAAATAATAGTATATCAAATAATAATAATAATAATAATAATAATAATAATAATAATAATAACTGGAATAGCAATTTCTGATTTTGATTTTATATACCAAAATATATTGAAACGACTCTGAAAGACCATTCCCATTAAACGAACGGTTTTTCTAGGAATGGACACTGAAACCCGTAGAGTGCAGGTAAATTGTGCACCAATTAACAGACTCCCGACCACCAACCAGCCCCTTAGCATTTTTTTATTTACTCATTTTAAGAGATCACTTTCAGGATAATTGTTATTATACAGTACACAGAATTTTCAGTAGTTGAAATGAAAATTGGCGTCGTAAAAAGCATTCGGGCCACGAGTTCTGTGTCTCAGCTACTAGGAAATAGGATGGCGGAGGATCCGGGAATCGTGTAATAAACCGTGGCTACTAGTATGGTATCACAGCTTCTCGCTCCACTAGTTTCATTTCTTTTAATAAGAGTGTTCGAGTTGCGTCCGGAATCTGAGCCCAGCGCTCTCCCAAGACTCATTGCTTCAAGACTTCTTTTTATTTAATTGTGCGAGAAAAGCGAGGTTTTGCTCTCCTAAAATATAGAATATCATGCATAACCAAATGACATACTGAGTCTACACAAAATATTGATGTTCATTAGCGATAGACAACTTTTGGGAGCACTAAAACAAAAATAATTTAAACACATACAGTTAGTACTTTACTACGAGTAGAAATATTATTATTTTTAAATGCATTGAAAAAGATAGTAAATAATTCTAAAAAAAACATGTACGTCAAAGAGGCAAAATAAAACGTTGCCAAAATATTTAGTTTTTTACCATTCGTGCTCAAATACTAAAATCCTTTAATAAACATATGATATAATACGCACTTTAACAAACATCCCATATCCAGTAATAATAGACATTTTTTTGTAAAAAATTGGATTCGCGACTACCCTACTAAAAGACCACTTTTTCACAAGTCCAACAATACTCGCTCAATCCAGGTTTTGGACGAAAACGGGCGAGATATTGACAGTGTCCTTCAAACGTATAGGTGCAGGGACCTTACCAGAGGACTTACTTTTTTCCTTTAGATTTCGAGACACTTCCCTCTGTCGCAGAAACGTGACGTTTTCTTACTAACAAGAGGTTACAGAACATATTACTTTCTCACATTATTAGTAACTTTTGCAATTTTCGAAAATTTAGAGAGTTCAACGGGTAAGGAACCTGTGCCATTTTTGTAAGCATACTTTCCTCAAGAAAAAAAGAAAGAAAAGAATTGGCAACGTTGTTCGCATTTTAAAAAAAATGCCTTAGCTTCTTGCAAAAATTACTCCTATTATTTAGAAATTGTTTATGACCATATTAAGGATCTATCTTTAGAAAAGATTTCATTAGGGGAAAATATATGTGAAGCGATTTATGAATGTGAAGTACTCTCTAAAGCTGAAATATCCGTTTCTAATGAGTGACCACGACATCAGCTCCTTCGATTGGGCAAATTTTTATGCAAATCGTGCACATAGTTTAGATGACAACAGTTGATCACGGGAGAACGGGCGGGCAGACGTCAAAAGAGTAGCTTTTTCGGTGACAGACTCACTCCCAAACGTGGAGTGTGACAATAAAACAGAACCGAGAACGCAAATTTTTGCGGTATCAAGAATCAATAAAATTTGTTTTCGAAAAGCTCGGCATTTTTTCCTGCAGTATTGCAATACTTCTCTTCTACCTACTACTATTGCAATACCAACTCTGTACTGCGCACAAAAAATTAAGTAGGGGCGTTACAACTATATACTTCCTCGCATTATTTATCACTTTTCAATTTTCGGAAATTCGGAGAGTTCCATGAGAAAGATCAGCGCCATTCTTTTAAACGTCCCTCGTTCTATCCATGCAAAAAATTAAATATAAAATTTGGAACCATTTTAGAATAGTTAAAAAAAGCATTAACTTCAAACAGAAATTGCGCGAATACTGCTCGTTAAAAAATTCTACATGTCTTTTTTAAGATCTTATTTTCAAGAACAGATTTGATTTAAGATAAAAATCTATAATATTGTACTTTTCAACGAAAATGATACCCGCGTCATTCTTTCACACAAATATTTATTTCTTAATCTAATATATACATTTCAGTTGCCGTCTGGCTTAAGAGTAAATTCTATCCTACTATATTACTGCTATATGACCTATCTATACTACTGTTACTATTTATAATATGTGCATTGTTGGTTATTATTTACAATATGTAAGCCTAGTCGAATGGCTCTTCCGATCAGAATCTAGTTTTGAGTGTGTGTCCGGCATTAATCCTCTAGCATATTTTCATAAACTATTTCAACTCACTATCACTTACACTGCCACTCATTCATTGCTTTCACTTCACTGTCCCTGATTTTTCTTTCTCTTAAGACTTTTATCTTGTGGCCGTCTGCAACTTTTTTTAGTGCGTCACTACCCGCACACCATTCTCCCAGTGCCCCTACCACAAGTGGGAGCACTTCGGAGATGTGGTAACCGACGGTAATGAGGTGGACCCGGGTGGTTTCGAATTTTTGGCGTTTTTCTTATAACTTGCTATTAAGTCTGCCCTTTCGTGCGTCAGCCACCGCGAAGTCCACCACGGCAGGGTGACTGCTTCCCACCACTGCCTGATTCTCCCGGAGCACCTGCCACCCCGCTGCAATGGCTGCTTCTTCGTAAATGGCCCCGATGTTATGCCGGGCGTTCTATAGTGGTGACAGGTAGCGGCCAATGTTCTCGGATGCTTGTTGCCCATTGCTTCACGTACATTTCATTCTAAAGCTTTTGGTCACGTTACCTGAGCAGTAGTTGAGAGCTGGGGAGGCGTTGATTCTGGCCGGAAACAGGAACTTGTAGGTGGGAATTTTCATGTTCCGGCCAGACTGCAGGAAGTAAATAGTTTATTTTCCTAACCCCTTGGGAGCGCTTGCATATATGCCCTGGGCGGGCTGTTCTAGCCAACGCTGGGAGTGCGCCCTGTGGAAAGCGTCACGTAGGCGCCTCACCAATGATGACCGCTATCCTTGGCGCCCAGTGTCACTCTGCCCTCTCCTCCATTCCCCTCCTCCGAGTTGGTCCCCAGACTTCGTAACGGTATCCGAAGTCAAAATTTAATAATAATAAAAAATGGAGCCATATTTTACAAAATTTTGAGGTTTAAACAAAAATATTACCCAAAATCAAAATATCCGTTTCAAACTCGCACGGCCTAGAGATCGTTTAGATCAATCGAAGAATATTTTTACTTCTACAGACAACATAGAGTAATTAAACCCAGTTTATGAATAGAGCCCGGAAGTTTGGCAAAATGCATTTTTATTATTGTTACTATTTTATGACTTTTAACAATATTAACCACTTAATTGAACTTCTAACATAGTTTCAGTAGATTTTTATTTTGCCTTTTGGTCTATTTTATCTTCTGAGGCCTATTTTTGCCATTTTGTCTTATTTTTGCCTTTTCTATCTTTTACGTCATTATTTGGCATTTTTCTTCTCCTGGCACCGATCTCGATCATGTTGGATATACACTGCAAGCCTGGATAACACGAAGGTACGGTCGTGTTTTGTCTTTCTGTGAAAACGGGGGTTGTGTTAAAAATGACACCGTCAATATTTTTGATTTTTTCATTGATGCCGACAGGTTTTGTTCGCTAACGAGGAATTCCATCTTACTTTTAAGTATGGTCTTCGATTGCTTTTGAAGACAGCTCCTTCTGTATAAGATATACCCATCTCAGTGCTTACGATTACACAAGTGCGAAGAACGAAAAATTTACTCCCGTTTTCACTGTGCCATATCAAGATTCAATGAGGTTTTTGTCGAAAAGTCGTAGTTTTCCGGCGCACGATTTCAATACTTTCATTTCTTACGAACGTAAGGGCGAGAAAGTTAAAGGACACCACAATAGAATTTCGGAGAGAGTATCGCGAGTAAAACACATTTCATATCTATCATATACGATGGCGAAGAGGAATCAAGATTACAAAAAAAAAAACTTTCCTTATGCTTACTAATGTAAATTTTAGAGTTAGAATAAAAATGCGAATCGCCGTTCCGATGGCCGAGATCGCTAAGGCAGTAGTGCCGTAGCAATCTCGGACCGAAGGATCGCGAGTTCGAGTCCCGCCTCGGGCATGGTTGTATTGTGTTCGTCCCTTCATCTTCTATCATCATCTTATTGTGTCATACTCATACCGTTACACGCAATAGTGGTCGCTAATGACCTAGAAGTTGATGCGACCTTAAGTAACAAACATGTGAATCATTTTAATTATTAATTTTTTACAATGATTCCTTTTAAATCTGACTTTTTAATTTTTACATGCCTATTTGCTTCCCTATTTTAACTAGAATAATGGCATATTTTAGTAAAAATAAATGCCCGTTTGCCGCCCTATTTTAGGTAAATAAATGCCTGAACTTCTGGGCTCTAATTATGAGATTCTAAACTGAAGGCACTGTGATATTCCAGTCAAAGCAAAAGGCATACCGTTTCAACAATGTTGTGATAAATTGTCCAACACAGGAAAATATACTATTTCACATACCTCAATAGCAGCTCCTTTGGCAACTTCTTGTTGATTTGGGCTTCATCATCTGAGAAGACTCGAGTCAACTGAAGCAAAATAAAAGAAAGAAACTCAAATGATATAATGTTCTTTCATGATTAAATCACAAAATACTAGAAGCATTGTTAATCAACAGTACATGCATACCTCAATATATCATTTGATAGGGATACAAGGTGAGAACCACCAACTCTTCATGATTTTGCCAGAAATTGCAATTATAATAAGTATTATTTATCAATTAAATAATTAATATAATTGATCTATACACAAAGCATATTCACAACAGTAATTTATATTTATTTTAACAATTCATGAAATATTTAAATTTGAGGAAACAAATAGACACCCCATTCATGACGACGATTCTCACAAACATTAATGAAATAGACTATCAGTTTGGCAGCATTTACAAAATCCTTACATACACAATTACTACATACAAACATAAACTGTCACACCATTCATTACTGAACGTCTACAGCATGCAATGACACAATGCAGTAATTATCAAGTAGCTTCCTTTACAGCAATGACACATCAGTTCACGTAGAGCACACAAATCCAACAGCAAAGTCCTTTATCTCAGTTTGCAAGCTCCTTACTATGTCATACGTTAACTTCAGCCTCATGCATTGCCAACTTTTGAATCCATAACATTGTTGCACACTTTAAAATTTATAATATTTTCTATGCAACTGAAACTGTAAACATAATGCCTTTTATTTAATTTGAGAATACACTTTTATAGATTATGAAAAGTCTTTCAGAATCTGCACAGTTTATCGAATTAAAAATACACTGCAGTTTTCAACATTAAAGAATTAATGTTAGAACATTTCCTAAGACGGAGAATATGTTAAAGAGTTATATTCCTAATGGCTCTGTAATACTTATTTTCTAGAGGTTTCTTATAGTTAATTAAGTTTATATTAATACATTTTCCAGAAGCTTAATATTAATGTTGCCTTAAAACGCTGACCACACACAATTCCTTCATGTAGCCAAGTGAAATAAATAAATAAATCTTGTACGTCTCACATTTCTGAATTGAATTCAAGAATAACAGTACACTTACTTCACAAGGTTGTTCCAGTCCAGAGTGAAAGATAGTATTTTTGTAGATATGCTGATATAGACATTTAAATACAGTACTGTTCATAAGTTGACAAGTACCTCTCCACGAAGCAAATAAGATTTTTCTTCTGATGGCTTTATTAGTTCATATTACCCAGAATTGCCTTCCAAGGATGATATATCCCGGTGACTGATTGAAGGAAGATCAGGGGTCTGACACACAACCCTGGGGGGAAAGAAGGTGAATGAAAGAAGGATTATTAAATTTTGGCAGAAAGAGAGGTGGGGATATTGGAAACATACCAATAACATGTTTTATATTATGCATCACATGCTTCCTGAAAGAGTGACTTTAGGGACACACTGGAGGGGACAAATATTAGGCTAGTGGCCAGTGGTTGCCATGTCACATGAAGAAATCGAATTTAGCTTCTCTGGTATTTGTTATTATATATGTATATGGTTTAAACACACTACCTTTTATAATTCAACAGCGTGTGTATTGAAGGTCCATTGTGTTCCCAAGAACTCGCATATACATGCCCGCAGCCCACACATATGGGCATCTTCCAATTCTCTGTCACGGGAGAAGGGAGCTTGGCCTTATTCAAAGTTGTCTTTCACTGATGGTCATATTTTTATTATATTTTATATTATTTCTTCATTTATTTTTTTACAAAATGATTTTGTACAATGATACATGTTTTTCATAATAAACCAGAAATTTTGGTTTATTTTACAAATTCAGGGTAGATTTACTTGAATTTGAGAGTGTCTCTAGAACATACTGTGTCTTGGCTCTATTTTTCAAAGTTGAACATCAAAAGTGTGCCAGAGAAACTTGTGGGGCTCAGAGGAACAGCAATGCTTAGTGAATTTTTCACTTCAAGAGATAATTTAATTCAAGGTTTAACCAGAAATTTAAAAAATTATTGACATTATTAAAACGATTCATCAGAATTTACTTAAAGGTTATATTTTTGGTTATCTTTTTGTGTAATTATCATTTTGCAAATACTATTTTCTGATTTAAAAATATTTAATTTTTTGAAGATTAATACACACAGCGCACAATGTAAGAGGAAAAGTAGTAAAAGTGACGAAACTGATATTCTGCAAACATTCAGAGCAATGATGACTGCATTAAATTATGATCAAATGAATCCATGATATAAAGGTTGATGTAAAGATAGAGAAAATACTTTGCTTTAATAAATAAGATATTTTATTATTTGAATGTATTATATATTTGAACTATCTTGCCTACTGCCTATTAATGTGGTGATGAAAAAGTATTGTAATGCTGCAGCGGAACTTGGTGATTTTTCGTTGACATTTATTTAATGGAACAAAGATATCGAGATTGTTGGGACAAAACTTGCAGATTACTGCTGTTCTGTAGGTAGAGATGCTCCGGAACTCACAAGAGGGAAGTCAAAAGACTGCGACCTCATGAAGCAACCAAATAATTCTCTTTAAACCCAACAATCATGTGTTTTCCCCTCAATTTAGAACTCTTTATATGTAACTGTCATTTAAAAATATTCAAGTGAACGTTGAATGTTGTTGGCATATATAAAACGTATAGCTTTCCCTTAATCTCTTAATATTACATATTTCCATCAATTGGATATCATAGAAACAAGAGCTAACAACATTTTTCTTTATCATATTCATTTTTTTTCCAACCCAAAGTTGGTAATATTTGACTCATAAAGTAAAGGAAACATTCAAAAACCTTTTTTTAATTTTATTTTTTAAATTTTGTTAGTCAGTGTAATCAATCATTTCGGTTGAACTCTCGGGAGTTTGGGACATTGCAAAAATTACAATGTAATGGCAGCACGATTGTACTGTTTTAGTAATATCAAGTTTTTCTTAGATCAGTGTTTTTATGTTCTGCTCAGGAATAACAAAATTGGGGTCACAATATTGAAAACTGATAACTTAATTGATAAATAATGAACTGTTCCATATGCATAACCTTTTTTGTGTTAATCATCTTCATCAACGCTAAATAAAATAAGTTCTTCATAACTACTGTCTTCAGCAACCAACTCTCATTCAGCATGCATCCCATTTTAGACTGCTTGCATGATATGATTTCTATTTGTTTTTCGATGCTTTTCTTTTCTGTTGTTCTTGGAAGGGACAGAAAGATTGGATAAGTTGTCACAGAAATCATTATGGCAGGGAGTAACATACTTTCGTAAACACTGAAGGTTCTTCCACTTCATATACTTAAAAGATATTGGCTCAGAGTAAAATTATTTAAGTCCACAAGTGCTGGCTGGTCTTCCAAGTTACACCTTTTCGAGAATGTCCAGTAAATCCTAATGAATTCTTCATTCAGAGAAAACATGAATAGTATTGTCAGAGAATTTCATTTCTCTCCTCTTTAATTACCTTACTCTCGCCATCCCTATTTATTACATTAATATTACATGTAATATTCTAAACTTACCACAACTGTCAAGAGAATAGGTGTTTATTTCTTTTTCTCATTGTCTGAATGATGCGTGCTTTAGTAATCAACAAAACACAACTGGAAAACAAGCACTTAGACAACCTTTCCTCCATCACAAACAATTAAACTTTCAGTCACTAGGTGTTAGCGGTCATAGTAGGCAGTGCTTGGAATGTTTTGAAATATTAGTTAATGCTCATAAATTGTAAGCCAAAGGTGGGAGGAGTATAAGCATATGCCCGAGATGTCCTCAGGGGAAGCGAAAACAGTCGACAAACGGAATGTAATTTTTTAAATAAAGACTATCTCTACATTGGTCGTTTGAGAACCTGCAGGGGGGACCGACGGCGGTGGTGGTCATGTTTTGTTGGAGACCGGAAACGACCATCTGTACCCTGAGTTTCTCAGCGTCAAGTACGTCGTTAGTGCCAACGTGGACGCAGATAGAAGTTGGTGCTAAGCCCCGGGTCGTATGGACTTAAGCCCGGGCGGCCTTTCTACCCACCGCCGACTGCAGGGAAGGATTGAGACACGGGTGATAAAACTCCCTTATGAAGACATCGGATGGAAATTGAAATCTCCCGCCACTTAACCCCCGGCGAGCCGGCGAATTTCAAGCGACACTCACGTCGTAAGTGCTGTGTACGCAGCTGTGGGAAGCAGATTCCGGACCTCGTCGTCAACGGGCTACCAGCCAAAAGGTGGAGATCGGAAGCTCCGAAAAACGGTTAGACAAAAGCAGTTCGCTGCATCGTCGATAATACAAGGGTGAGTACCCGTCCTCTGGTGTAATTGAATACACGCATCCGGTCTCCACAATACTGATGAACCCGCATCCACAGGGCTTCTTGTGTAGTCGCAAGCCCAGGAATACTTGGGCAGACGCTGGGAGGTCGCGCGCAGGGGTCTTCAGCGATATCCGGGTCTGACGCAACCGCACGCCTCATAACCTCCGGCAGACCGAAGCTGTCAGCAGTAGAGCACTGAGTAGGATGGCATTACAACACACACACACACAACATGAGGCACTACGGAAACGGCTCATACGTGTCCTTCATCGAACATCCTCAAGATATTATCACGTACTTAAGGTCTCTTTAACTCTGACCTCTGATTTCTTGATTTGTGCCATGGAATTTTTTGAATTTCTTGGCTCTTATTATTTGGAATGATCTCACATTACACACAGAAAAGAAGAAAAAAATTAGAAATCATACGAAACAAAATGTTTTGAAATGATATGCCATCACAAAAAAATTATACGGTTTCTGAATTTCAAAGTAGAAAATTGATAACTACTCTAAACAAATCATTATATTGATTCATTCACTGAATGTTTACTTCAAGGATTCATTACCTCTCTATTTCATGGAGCGGTCAATATATACGAAGTATTCAATGAATTATCTGAGGTAATGACAAAGAATGTCGGTACCGTCCGGAGCTCCACCTTGGAGCGAATGGAATTAAGAACTTAGATTTAAAACCAGTTAAGTTAAACATAAACGAACATACTGCAGAAATATAATCCTTTTGCAATTTACCAACACACGATTGCAAGAAAACGAATTTTTGTGTTCCCTCATCGTCAGAACTCATTCATTAGCGTCGCGACCCCATTCCTTCACAGTACTCGCTAACTTCTCCCACCCTCTTCCATTTCTTGCTTCTCTTGGGGATTGCGAAAGAAAAAGTTTAGTTGTCTTCTTTGTTGCGTTCGTTAATATTAAAAACGATAATTTTGAGAGTTCTTTAGATTTAACATCGACCAAGCCCTACTTATTATCAAATTCGGCTAGGATCCATAACTGTAATTGTAAACTCAGATGCACTCGCAATCTAAAGAAAAAATATCAGTAAAGAAATTTGATTTTAAAGTCTATAATTTTTCATAGGAAAACACTGCTATTCTTTTACAAATACAACTACAATCAAGGGCTATCAATACCGACTAAGTCCAGCCCCTTAGTTTCAAGTACAATACCTTGGTCCAAAACACAACGCCCAATCTCTGAAACTTGAAAACAGGTCAAGTATACTAAGACTTCTAGACACACAGTATACAAAGATTTCTAAACACATTATATGTTGAAAGGCAACTTGGGCGTCTAAGATGTAGACACTTTGAGGGGGACATCAAAAGTGTCCCTCCACGTAATTTTAGTTTGTTTCACCATTTTTTAATTGATTCATTGGCTCATGAGGTACGCGGTATACGAAAACATGTCCATGAATATATCGCAGCTGTCATGTATCTTCAACAATTTCTAACGGCCTCGCGATTGTAATGTTAAATTTGAGCACCTGGAGCAACATAAAATATTTTTCTGTTGCACTTCTTACTTGCGATTTAAGGATAAGTCAAAATAGTTATTTATGAAAGAAGTGGTAAAATTTCTGATGGGTGAACTTTAGTTCCGTAATAAAACTCTGACAGCTTAGAAAATGACGGTAGCTGCAATGTCGATGTCGAGGCTAGTGGTGGGGCAAGCAATATGCTTATTGGTCTTCTTCGTTAGATCTGAAAATGTAGGCGAGCGGGATCCCTAGATCAACCACATGGTTCAGGAGAAACTTCATATTAATTCCACAAGTATGTTTACTTTTCCACCATGTTATGTATTTCCGTAGTAAAGAGATACAATTATGATGCTGAGGCAAAATCAGGGGGTGTTTCGACAGAAATACTCGTATTCTGGAGAACTGATAACAAAATAGTGGATAAATTGTGTTCCACTAACTAGTAAATTACTTGATCTAACATGTGATTTAGTCAGAATCCTCGTTTTAAGGGTTCTTGATACAGCAAAATTGATTGCAAAACGTCTGTGGTCAATGCTGGCGCCTAAACCGTTCAGATTATTTTCTCCAAATTTAGATTCTCGCATCGATCTCTCCACACTGGAGGTGATGCGAATTTGAAACGGATATTTTGATTTTTTTGGGTTGCTTGTCATGAAACTTCAATACTTTCTTATCAAAAAGGGCTCCAAATGTTTTATTAAACTTTTTCCTCTGAAGGACGATTCAAAAATGACGCAATTATTCAATTTTTCAAAATTGATTCGGCAATTTTTAATCAATTCTTTTATTAAAAAAACTTCTGTTTCTCTTCAATACCCCCCCCCGGACTTAGTAAAGAACGCTAAAGAAAATGGTGCTGGTCCCATTCTCGGTAAACTCTCCGTATCTTCTTAAATTGCAAAATAATTGAGAAAAGTACAATAATGTGTTGAGGCTGCGAAATATTGCTTAGATGAATTGGGAGAGATTAGCAGAAACTGAAACGAACATCCATTTTTCTATCAATCAGACGAGAGCGTTCTGGAAAAGAAACGACACATAATTGACAAAGATTACTTTGCCGAAAGAATCAATGAGTATTGAAGAGATTGTCATTATTACCTCCGTCTGGAGGAAAATAAACGTTTTCTTTACGAGTTTCACGCTTGGTGGCTACGCTCGCCGCGCTTTGGCGTTTGAGGTCGTAGACTACAGAAATGTGCTAGGAATTGCTTGGCAGCGCGCCGAATCAAACTGTCAATGCGCCCAACACACTTCACCCAGCTTCCGTACACGATGTCTACGAAACTGCTCGCGACTGGTTTTCATGACAATGCGAGATCGTCGCGTCCAATGTAGAAAAAATTGGATTCCGAGAAATCTGACAATGATCTCATCTTTCGTGGCGGCCGTCCAGGAGGTGACGCAAGTGGGACTACGGGTGACTCTTCGAAACTAATAGAAAGCAGTTGACAATCGATTGAAAAAAACTTTACACGAAAGAAATTAGTATTTGGTCAACTGGGAAGGAATTCGCGCGGCCTTTTTGAGCAATATTAGACCATCACCGAGGCGGGAAGTTTGAAATGTATGATCTTTACTTTAAATTCCTTCAAAGAGCAGCGAAACGGAGCTATTTGAAGGGTACGCCAAATTTGGTTTAATTTGGCGGTCAATGCTAACAAATGATAATTTTTTCGTTATTGAAATCTGTTCTACAAAAATAATCTTTAGGAAATATTGCGTACATTAAAAAAACAATATTTCGTGTAATTTTTGCTTGAAATTACTGGAATTTATTTTCGAAAAATCTTCAATTTTATTTCTTGGCTATAGCAAATGATTAAAAATGGGCGCAGGTGTAGTTTTCGTTGAAGTTCCCGAATTTTGGAAAATTGGAAAAGTTAGAAAGAATGTCTTGTAGCACCACTAGTTTTGTTTTTGAGACTAAAAGGAAAATAATATCGATTTTAACAATATTTAATTATATTACCAATTTTGCTGTGTAATTCTAAAAGACTAAACACGCCTTTAACAACTATTGTACCTTAGCTTCTGGATCAATGCCAGCCATCTCGATCAGATTTTTCGTTGTTTCCGCTGATCCTTTGAGAAAATGCCGAGATGTCCCCTTGTTTCATTTCTCAGCACAAATGAAGATCACTATCTCTGCACGAACTCTCTCTCTCTCTCTTTGTGCAGAATATAGTTATTGAAATAGTCGAACCGTGTTGTTGCGGCAGGAAGTAGCTTCTGACACGAAAGGCTCGAACGGGACAATTATCTGTACTTGATTTGCCTTTGCAAATAGCTTTTGTTATTCATGAGGGAATATTTTCCTATTAATTTTTGCCAAAAATCGCTCGTTGCTACTTGTAGTCTTAATTCAACTTATGTGCGAATGGATGGGGATCCCAGAGCTCCAGAAAATGTGCCACATTTCTCTTATCTTCATAGAACGTCACAGTTTTCACCGTTTTCTACGTTGAATAAATAAAGGGCGGAATTCGACAATATCGCAATTTGATAAACGGGGGAACGTCAACGTCAGGCAAAAATAGGCAAACCAGTTTGTGGAAACTTTCTTAGAAAGAATTATATACCAGTATATATATATATATATATATA